CGTGTGACAGTGTGTGTTTGGCACTGCTTGTGCATACCTGTTTCCCTGTCTCCTTTTGTCCCTGTGCCCAGCAAAATTCTGTGTACTCACTTCTCCCGTTCTCTCCTCAACCCACTCTGTTGGTCTTCATTCCCACGTCCCCCGGAAATGGCTCTTTCCTAGGCGGCCAGTGCCTCCTCTGGCCAAAGCTGGTGGTTGATATTCCGTCCCCATCTTCCCTCACCCCATCTGTCTCTTTGGGGCCTCTAAATGTCAGAGGGCACAGAGCTCAGGCCTCAGTTCCCGTCTCTTTTCTAGTTTCCTTCCAAGTTCCAGTCCCAAGGCTATAAATATCTTTTTGTAAATACCATGGAAATGCTAGTGTCTCTCCTGACCCCTCGACTCGTGCTGCCCTGCCCCTCCCCAGCCTCAGTCTCCTTCATCTGACTGGTCGCATCTCTCCTGGCATGTCTAACCTCACACTTAACATCCATCTAGGTCCTCTCTCAGATCTGCCTTCTCCAGGCCTCAGGAGCACGTTCAGCTTCAGCAAGAACATCCGGTGGGTAGCTCGCGCCCCACACCTGGGAGTCGTCCTGGGTTTCTCTTTCCCACGCCCACAGTGCCAGGCGCTCCCGCCACTCCAGGAGCACGAGCCTCCCTCTGTGTCTCTCCGGCCCCCAGCCTTGACGGCTGTCCTTTTTCCAAAAATTTTTATTGTGGTAAAATACACTTAAACTTTACCATCTTACCCATTTTTAAGTGTACAGTGCTGTGGCATTAAGTACATTCATACTGTCGTGCAGCCATCACCACCACCCATTTCCAGAACTCTCTTCATCTTACGAAACTTAAACTCTGTACCCATTAAACACCAACTCCCCACCTCCTCACCTCCCAGTCCCTGAAAGTAGAAAATAGGCAACTACCCTTCTATTTTCTGTCTCTATAATTTTGACTGAGAGGGAAGCCCCTCACCTCAGAATGTAACCATAAATCAGATCTTCCAGCAGCTTCCCATAAAGCTCAAATAAAACCCATCTGCAAACAGAGCCTTCCAGAGCCGTCCATCCCTCTGCTGCATCTTCTATCACTCCCCTCATTGCTCACTCCATCCTAGCGACAACGGTCTTCTTGTCCCTTGATGATGCCCAGCTCAGTCTAGTCTCCAGACCTCTGCACGTGCCTGGAGGCTACTCCCCAGCAAGATCTTCCCTCAGCTGCTCCTTTTCTGCATTTAGGCCCCAACCAAACTGGCACCTCCCCTGAGGGCCTTTCCTGACCACTTTAGCTAAAGCGGTCTCCCTCCCCAGACATCTTCATCTTAGTGCACTCAGAACCTGATACCCTTACCAACTGGGACCCTTGTTTAGTGTTTGTGTCCCCTTGCAGGCAAGGCCTTACTCACTGCCGAATCTCAGGGTCTAAAGTGGTGCCTGGTGGGCTGTAGTTGCTTAGCAAATGTTTGTTGACGTGTTCCTGTGAACTGCACCTGACCCAGTGGGGGGCGAGTGTGTGTGTGTGTCTGGACCCTTTGCTGGTCTTGGTCCTGAAGCCAGGTCCTGGAGTTGAGTGAGAGCAGTGTTGAGTCTTCTCCATAGCTGGGTTCCAAACCTGCTCAAGCGCTCACTGTTTGAGCGACTTTGGAGGCGTTTTTCCTACTCTTTCTGAGCTGACGTTTGCTCCTCTGAGAAGCAGGGAGGTGTGGGGAGTGTTGATACTCCTCCACCCTCGTTGTGGGCAGGACATCCTACCTGGCACAATCCAGCCTCAGCAGCTTAGTAGGGGCATAAGGCCTCTCCAAGTTTCCTCCCCACAGAATTCTGAGTCTCTGGGACCCGGAAGATGCTGTCGGGACAGAATTGCCTTGCCCCAGAACAACCCCACCCTGTAACCTGTGAATATAGGTCCAGGAGAGATGGCAAGCAGGCCCCGGGGCCTGGGCTGAGACCAAGATAAGCAGACTGCCTTTTGTCTGGCCTGGACAATCTCTGCTCATGGCTACCACACCCAGGGCACAGAAAGAGGAAACTGAGGCCTAGGGCAGGCTCACAGGCAGCTGGGTAATACAAAAATCAGAGGATGGGCCGCCTAGCTTTTCCTCCTGCCCTTGACCAGTGCAAGAAGGGGGTCCCCTCCACCCCTCCCTGTTGGGCCATCCTCCCATGGACCCTCGCACCTCTCTTAAAGGAGGCCTGCTGGAGTCAGAATGGCGCTGAACAGGGCTTGCCTTGCTAGCACTGCCAGGTTGTGACCCCTCCTCTCCTGTCCCACTGACCTCTTCCCTTCCAGCCTCCCGCGATCCACCACCACCCTCACCCGGCAGGTTCCCAGGGCTTTGGTGCCACTTTGTTCCTATCCAGCTTATCTCTGAAGGCCCAGCCCACTTTGTGTCAATATTGACCCAGGCAACAGAGTGGCCCCAAGTGGGCCTCATCCCTCCAGACCCTGCCCCTAGGCTCCCTGGATTCCAACTTCTTTGTCCCAGGCCTCCTCTGGGCCCCTCCCCGGGGCCCCTTCCCAGCAGGTACAGCGCCTGGCAAGAGCGCAGACAGGGAGGGGAGCAGGAACTGCTGTCTCGGGTCCTGGAGCCCACTGCCTGGAGATGCCCTGGCCCGTTGCCCTGGAGGGGAGCAGCCGTGGGCCCGCGTGGGCCCTCATGACTGACCGCAGGCCTGCCCTGGGCTGCAGGCCATGGGAGGTGCAGTGATACGGTCACCAGGTCATCGGAGCATGCATAGCCTGGGAGTGACTGGCCTGAGTGTGCTGTAGAAACTACCAGGCGCCTGAGGAGGTTGAGTTTGTCACCGTGCCTGCAGGGCCACCAGTCTGATCGGCTGTGTGGAGTGCTGGAGTCCCAAGTCAGACCAAGGACCAGCCCTAGGCCCTTGCAAGTGGCTTGCCCACTGTGGCAGGGGTGTGTAGGTCCTGCCCAACAATACACCCAACCACAGCTTGGGTCAGGATAGTCTCCAGCAGGGGCAGTGCAAGGCTGCGTTCTGTTGTGAGCAGTCGGCTATCCACTGTGCTCCCCATCTCAGGGTGAAAGCAGAGTGCTGTCAGCCAAGTAGAGCTCTTATCAGGTCTCGCTCGTCACCTCTACCTTGGGAAAGGCTCCCACTGCCCATGTGTTTTCTTTCACTTTTCTGGATTTCCTGAATTTTTAGCAATGAACATGTATGACTGATCTTTCAGGTAAAACTACATATATCCTTTTCCTGAAAGCTCAACCCACAGCTCCATACCTGGGCATCAGGCCTGGGACAGTTTGGGGGAATTGTACCTTTTCTCCACAGCCAGCCAGAACAGGGAGTTCTCAGCTCTGGCCACATGTTTGAATCATCTGGGGCACTTGAAAATATGATGCAGATCCCCACCCTTAAAGATTTGAATTTACATGGTCTGGGGTGAGCTTGAGGGATCTGAATTTTTAAGAACCCACAGGTGATTCTAACTGCAGCCAGAGCTGAGAGTCACTGAGCTAGGGGATGGAGCTGTAACGGAGGTTTGGGGTGGAAAACTCTGGGGCCACGTCCTCCTCCTGACGGCCTGAAGGTCTAGTCTAATCTAGGAGGTCAGCCTGGTGGCCATGCTGGTTGGTGGCTCCAGGCCTTGAGCAGCCTGTTGATCCATGGCCAGCACTGGTACATGGATTTACCATGCAAGCATTCTGGGTTACTTCAGGGACTCTGCCACAAGCCCCAATGCACTCCTTCCACAAGTTCAACAGACTGTTTGTCAGCTAATGTGCCATTGTTCCCAGGCTGCCTTTTCCCAACTACTCCTTCCCACCCTCCGTGGCTTCCTGCCCATTCCTTGGTCCTGCAATACAGACAGATGCTATGTGCTCAAACTAGAAAGTATCAAAGGGGAAATCTCAGTATGTTCAAGTCCCAAATAAATGCCCTCTTGATGACCCATGTCCCCGTCGAACCTATTCAAGGGACCTGTGGACATTCACTAGGACACCTAGGCTTCACAGGCTGCCACATTCTCAGCCATTTTCTGTTTGCTTGCATGCAAAGGTAGTGAAGTGGGAGGGGCAGTGAGGCTGATGCCACAGAAGGCAAGAGAGAGAGAGCACAAAGGACATAGCCTAGGAGTCCAGTACCAGGGGAGGAAGCTGGAGTGACTTCTCTCTGGCCGGCCTGCTGCTCCACTGTGAAGAGAGAATACCTAGGAGTATAGCACAGACTAGCTGTGAGGTATTTGGGGTTTAGTCTCTGGGTAAATATTGGGTCTCCTGGGCTGATATACATACTGTCCTGGGTCATTTGAGAGGAATACACATGCCTGGCAGAAACCTGTGTCCTGTGATAAGAGCAGAGACTGCAGAACTTTGTCTCATCAGCCTGATTTCTCATCCACAAAACAGGGATAAGACCTCTCTGATAGGATTGTTGACTCTGGTGTAGTTATCTGAATGAGGTATTGTGAAGAAGCTGAGTCCTGAGAGTGGTGAGGCCATGTCTCAGTGCCTGCCAGGAGTCCCTAGTAGAGACTTGCTGCCCCTCTCACCTTCATGAATGGAGGGGCTGGATTGAGGGCAATGTCTAGAGGGTGTCTCCATGAGAAAACTGTCTGGTATGTACATCCTTACTCTTTTTCTGATCCCTTGCCATGCTTTCTCTGGTAATCACGGCATCTCAGGTAATGTACTCATGGGCTATGTGTTTCAGTACCACACACAATGCCTTAGGGGTGGGGTGGGGAGCTATAGTTCTCTTAGGCTGCATTTAGAAGCCTGTTTGGTAAGGCTGGAGTCTGTGTGGGAGGGTGGTGAGCCAGACCGCTCCTGTCTGGGGAGAGGAAACGAAGGGCCAAGCAGCTGTCACCTTTTGGGTAACAAGCAATTTAGAGAGGATGGTTTTCTAGTCTCCCCTTGGGGTCAAGGTCTGTGGATCCTGGGGTCCTGCAGTCCCACTCCCATCCAGTCTTGCTGTACAGAAGTGGGGACACCATGAGACCTAAGGTGCTGGCATGAGGCTGTGCAGTGGGCAGAGAATTGAGCAGTCGATCCAAAGAGAGCGCAGTTTCACGTTTATTTTTGGCAGGAAGGAAATCATTGCAAACGTCTTGATTGACAATACTTGTCCCTGGAAACGTGCACATTCCGCATGTAGTATTTCCCAAGTAATGCTGGATTATTTATCACATTCAAATATCCAACAGAAATCCATGACCACCCAGACACCAGCATCTCCAATACTTGGGGGGTGTTAGTCTGCAGAGAAGCTCCTGGGAGGATGGAACAGGAACAGACGTGATCACATTTACAGTAAAATAGGAACAGAGGCAGCCAGCTGATTTTGCACAGGTAACCGCAAATACTTCAAGCCATCCACTGTTCTCAAACCCTGGCATGCCAGCTGTCCAGCACAGCACCTTTATAAGCAGAGGCACAAACGTCATGAGTGTTTGACCATAGGGCTGTGTGGTTCTGGATTTTATTAGAAATCATCTTTAAAATGCAGGGTTGTAAAATGTTGCCAGGTTATAAACTTATAGACTTCTTTTTTATACCAAAAGTTCAAATGCTGCAACCATGACAAGTCAGTGTCATTAGGGCATCCTCATGTTCCCAAAGTCATCTCATCAAAATTGCACCATGTCAAAGGAGCTTCCTACCAACCATCAATGGTGCAAAAGGTGGTGGTCCTTTTTAGTGTATAAATGCGTTGTTTACTAACAGCTAATGCATGAAACCACAGACCAAGACGTAGGATTCCAGAGCAAATGGAAGACAGAGCATTAACAATGTTAGGAGTGCCTGGACACCTCCACTCGAGGCCGGGCCAGAGATATCATAATATCATAGTGGGCTGGGGTCCATGAACCCTAGGTATCTGTCCCAGATCTTCATGTAGAAAAGATCTGTCCAGGAGATTACAATTTAACCTGGTACAGACAGGACCATGGAAACTCAGGAAGTCAGACTTCTCTTTTGGCTAAAGAGTTGGGGATATTTTGGTATCGTGGGAAGTATATGGCACAGAGAAGTAGCTAACAGCTTTCATTAGGTATTAAAGCCCACAATTAATAAAAGGTAATAATTAAAAACAATACCCGTATTTACCTTAAAAAAAATAAACCCCAAACATTCGTCTAATTTCTTGGCCTTATGTTAGAATTCTATTGCTTCATTTTCATGTAGATGATTAAAAAAATATATACTAGATAGAGATATTTTTGATTACGTAGATAAAGCAGAATCAAGGTTAAAATAAAAATGGAATTTTGGAGTGTGGTCAAATAAGGTGCACAGATTCCAGAACCCTCAGAGGGCTGGCTGGCCCTCCCAAGGCATTCTGTGTCTCTGGTGGCAGGAACTGGGCTCCATCCCCAACAGCTCCGCACTGGCTTAGTGCAATGGCGCTCACAGTTTCAGGAACTACTAGGTGAAGGGTTTGGCTCAAGCCTGCCAAGTGTCTTCACTCCATCTGTCAGAAATGGAGCACTATTCCTAGGTTTGCTTCCCCTGAAATATTCTGGAATTTCAATTCTCTCTGCCCCTTCCTCCAAATAAGGCCCTGTGATGCCAACAAAGGGGGCAAGGATGAAGGTCTAAGGCTCTTATCAGGGCCTCATTCTGTATGGGTACCAACACATGACAGACACTTGACTGCAACATTCAAGACATTTAAGGCAGTGGGTTAATTATAATGACTGGTTTCCAAACAAAGGTTTACGGCATGTGCAGATCTGCCATGTAACTGTCATTGTCTGTGGTAATGCCTAGCAAGGGGGGCTGTTTCCAGTTTACTTGGCATACAGATTACAGGGTTTGGAATACTCAGAATATTGGGAGACCTGGTTACCCTCCAAATACTTACTTCTCTTCTGAATGCACGGCAGTCCACAGACCAAAGTGCTGCTGGGAGGATGTGACTGACAGCTGGCTTCATTATTTTATGGATGAAAGCAAAAAAAGAAATTTTACTTTGACCCTCTATTTCCAGTCTTGTGAGTGCCAGTCGCTCCCACCAGAACTCTGGCTGAGGCACAACCCACAGAGGACTAAGGCAATGGTGCCAACACAAAGTGCTCTTTAAAAGTATTTTTAAGAGCAATACTTTACAGACTATCTTTTTGTTAAACAAGGAACATGGCACTGCTTAACCTGGGAAAGGCTGCAAAGAGAGCCTGGGCTTAGAGGAGGGAGCCCTTCCTCTCCCTGGTTTGGGGTGATGAGTCCCATATCTAGACAGGCTTCCCTAACCCTTGGCTCAGAAATAGGCTGTGCTTCAAAGGAGAAGACCAAGAGATGGACTTGGGCCACATCAGCTTGCTGGCTGGTTGAGGCCACAGATTCTTGAGAGAGAATGGTCAGCTTATCACAGGATCTGATGTTGACTGAAGTTTGAAATTAATGCCACACCTGTGTGGTGCTCTGACCCTTTTACTTTGTACTCTTCTGCATTCCCAGTGGCAAGTGCCAGGGAAGGGATACAAGTGGTGCAGTCTGCAATGGGGTGGGACACCTAAGTTTCTGACCCTGTCCAAGTTTGCAGCTTAGCAGTGAGCATATTCTGAGCATAGGCACAGTGGCAAAGAACAGTGTAACAGCCGCTGGTCAATTCCATTTGGTGGCAGCACGGTAGCAGCAAAGAAAATTCCCAAACAGCTCCACGTATATCCAGCTTTTGGAAAGGAAAGATTTAAAAGTCAATAAACAACTTTTTAAAAAATATACCCAAGGGTTTTAGGCTTTCTTGTAACTGATCTACCAAAACCAACAACAAAACAACAAAAAACACAGAAGTATGGCAGTAGTGTGAAAGCAGAAATCACATGACATCACTTTTCAAGGGGAAAATGTGACCTCAAGACAAATTTGTCACCATCAGAAATAATATAAGGGAATCTATTGTTTCCTAAAGTGTTGAGTCACACAATTGCAGATACATTCCAAACTGGGTCAGAAATGAATGGAGACAACAAAGTCACAAAAACTCCGATCAGGAACCTGACCCTGCAGCATGCCACAGGTCGTCAGAGCAAAGTCACACCTGTTGGGAAACAGGCTCCTACAATTCACCCCCCTCCCGTGTCACCCCCGCCACACACACACACACACACACACACACACACACACACACACACACACACACACACGCTACCAGGTTCTAGAAAATTGTCATTTTCATCTTCTTAGAGTATTCAAGACAATAAAAGACTAAAAGATGTCTGGAAATATGTTGTGTAGAAAAATTAACTCTCAGCTTAAAATAACATTCAGAAAGGCACTTCATCCTGTACAAAAGAGATTCTGAGTTGGGTCAGCTGCTCCGAGCTGGGACAGAAGGGGTAAGTTGTCTGCTTGGAGGGGAGGACAGTTGAAAGGAAGTCTGATAGATATCAAGCTTTTTTTTCCCTCTGTGTTTTTTTTTTTTTTTTTTTTTCTTTTTGGTATGTTTAAGAAAAGCAAATCCAGTAAAATGCATGTCCCTTTATGAAATCTGTTAAAAGAGTTCTTTTTAAAATAGTTGTTTCTGTTCTTAAAAAACAAAATAGGGAGGCATGGCCACATTTACCCTGTGGCCTGGAGCACAGAATATCCTCACTTTCAGCTCCCAGGGAGCTGAGGCCAGGCAGGTCCTCTGAGGCCAGAGGTTCCTGAGTGCACAGGCGGAGGTGGGCAGAGGCCAGGGCTACCTATTGCAGAGCCTGTGCAGCATGCTGTACACGTCGTCCTCACGGCTCAGGCCCTCGAAGAAGGGGATGAGGTCCAGCAGCTCTGTGTCTGTCATGTCATCGAACCAGGACTGCACAGGCACCTGGAAGACAGAGCATGGAGAGGGCACAGAACTGAATCCAGGGTCAGGGGCTGCTCCTAACCTGACCGGGTCCCCATACTATTAAAATTTTCTTTGGTAAGGAGGACTGATATCTAGAAATCATCATCATCATCATTTTGTTTGTTCCCCTGTCCCAACCAAGGTCAATCCAAAGCTACGTGGTCCATGAGATGGCTCAGGAAGGCAAAGTTAAGAGCACCCAGTTTGTGTGCATTTGCCTGTTTTGTTTTCCTCCCACAGAAAAGGTGGTCAGAGCACAGATTATATAACTAGACTTGCTACTTGCCAATTTCAAAAAGCTCTTTCTACTGCATCAAGTCAGCTCCTTGCACCTCAGAGCACTCGGAGCCAGAGGTTACATGCCAACCATCAACACCAGGAGCCACTTCCAGGGCACAGGAGGGCCTCCACTTAGGATCACTGAGTTATGGCACATGGCAAAGAGAAGTGGAGAATTTCTTCCCATGCTCAGCAGTGATCAGTTAAAAATGGAAGTATTAAATTTCAGGACATTGTGAAGCCATGGGCAAAGACAGAATTTCCCCTTAGTTTTAAGCAGAGCAGTGTGGAGAGATGGTAGTGAGTAGTAGCCAGTGGTGCAAAGAAGAGATTTAAAAAGAAATTTGCGGAAATCAAAAACGTTTAACAGTAACAATTTGGCCCTTTCACAAACCTAAAGACAGCTTAGAAACATACAAATTTATTATGTAATTTTGAAAAATAAGGTAAGGATTAAGAAAAAATGACTACTCCTGGGGAAGGGAAGAAAATGGGGAGAAGGCAGAAATGGACATAAGACTTCTCTAAATTTATTTCATTGGTAGTTTTGATGTTAGAACCATGTACATGTACATATGTTATATAATTCAAACAAAAGTAAACACTAAGAAGTAATAAAAAATAAAACTAAACGTATATAAAGTTGGTAATGTAACCACAATAGAGAATTATTTCAAGTGATTCTAAAACAGTGTTCTGTGTATATCTCTCCAAAAAACCCTAAACTCCATTCAATTGTTTTATTATTAGTAATAATATTAGTACTGCTACCTTGAAATTATTAAACATAAGAACATATACTATGGAAGAAATCAAACGTAATTATGTTAATATCTTTAGGAATCAAAAGTTTCAGCATAAGAGAAAGAGATATAGATACAAAAACAATGAAGTTAAATAAAGTTTAAATAAAAATTTAATGTTGAATTGGAAAAACCAATATGAATTTGTGATTTAGTTTTCTTTCTAAAAAATATGTATTTTTTTAGCTCTGGCCTGTAGAAGGGGTTAGAAGTAAAGGACATCCCAATGGCAATGAAAGCCCATCCAAGTTGTTGTCTCTAAATAACATTTCCACTAATAGGAACAAGCTCCATAAAAAAAATGGCAGATTTCAGGGCAGAAAAGAAATGTTCAAGACAAGCCTGGAATGTCTTATACCAGAAAGCAAGGAAGCTATCAAAAACCGTTGTTATTTGAAGGAGTCTCCACTGGCCAAAGATGAAAATTTGAGTGTCCAAATAAATATAGATTGGACTGGAACAATAAAAAAATCAATAAATTCATAATGATACTAAAGAAAATTCATTGGCTTCTTTGGAGTTTGCTGAAGGACCAACTCATTAGTCTGAAAATTACAGAATTAGAGATAAAGAACAAAGACATTTCCCTGCTTTCCCTATTCAAACATTCAAACTGTATTTTAGGGTAATCAAGCAGTCGATGAGGGCAAGTTCTATTTTTTTTTAGTAGAAGAATTCCAGCCAATAGATGCAGAAAGAATGATAAAATCTAGAAACCGCCATTCTGCAATTCCTAATGAAATAGTGGATATAGACAGTGATCACCACCAACTACTGAAATGATGAGGTAAATAGCTAATGGGGAACTTTATAACCAGGCTAACAACATCTGAACCCAATGATCAATTTTACATCTTTAAAAGTAGGACAACTTGACATATGCCTTCTGATATGATATCATAGTAAGTACACAATATCACCTATAATGTATTCTTGCAAAAAAAAAAAAAAAAAAAAAGTGAACCTGAATCTAATCAAGTAGTAGAGATGTAGTTACTTGTTTAAAGGACATAGGAGGCTAGAAAAACATATTAAACACCACAAGGCAATAACTAGACAAACCCAGGGGCTGGCCCAGTGGCGCACTGCTACAGTGCTCCGTTTGGGAGTGCGGCGGCGCTCCCACCGAGGGTTCGGATCCCACATACAGACCAGCCGCTCACTGGCTGAGCGAGGTGCGGGGGCAACACTGAGGGTTGCGATCCTGTTGCCGGTCCCGGTCCGGTACGGGCGCGACACTGAGGGTTGCGATCCGTTGCCGGTCATGAAAAAAGACAAAAAAGGAAAAAAAAAAAAAAAAAACTAGACAAACCCAGAATTTAAGAAATTTCTATAAGACAAATAACCAGGTTTCTTCCACAAATAAACAGCATAGAATAAAAAGGGGGAGGGAAAAGAGAAGTGTTAAGATTACAAAAGAGACATATTAACCAAAACAATGCATGAAACTTGTTTGGATCCTGATTCAAACAATCCAAATGTAAGAAAACATTTCAAGATGATAGGGACAATAGGAACACAGTTTGGATATTAGATAACGTAAGAAACAGTTCTGTCAGATGTGATAATGGAACTGTGATTATATTAAAAAGTAATCCTTACCTGTCAGAGACATATTACTAAATGCAATATAGTGAATTTGATTTACTCATTAAAATGAATATATTTAAATACATTTTGAGTGTTTATTCAAATAATGATTATACACTAACTGAATCTAGTTTAAACTCATATTTTGTTGTAAGTGGAGCTACAGAGTTCTGGACTCAAGGAAAGGAATTTTGTAGGCTTCTGTTAGAGTCTGAGAAGCCTGTGCTGGGGAGGAAGCATCCTCTCCTGGGAAACTTGCCTGAGCTGAGGGACTGGAGTGGCAGCTACGGCTACGGGGTCAGCACAGTCACCAGCAGACCTGACTAATCTCTTTCCCCTGGAGATGTCGGGCAGGAGGTGGAAGAGCATCTTCTTCTTGCTCTCAGACTTGTGCTATACCTGGTGAGTAGGCACCGGGAGATGCCACACTCTAGGGAGTTTTATTTAGGAAATGGTTCCAGTGTGTGCTTTTTAGACATCATTATGAGGTAGTGAAGTTTGGCAGCCTTACCTGAGGACCTAATTGAGGTGTTTAATTCATTCCTGTTTAAGAAACGCTTGTACTTCTACAGAAGAGGTCACCTAGGCCTCCTGAGTCTACAGGGGTCATGAAGCCCCGGGCGGCAGCCAGCTACTTGAGGATGACAGACAGAACCTTTCTCAGCAACAACACTAAGAATGCTAATAAGAAGATACAGGCTTACTGAGCACTTACCAGTCTCAAGCACTGTTCTACGTGTTTTTCACGTATTGCCACACTGAATCTTTCAACAATCCTATGAGATCAACATTCCTATAATTCCCATTTGACAGATGAGGCAACTGAAGCTCAGTGAGGTTAAATCACTTGGTCAATGTCATGCAACTGCTTAGTGGCAGAGTTGGAATTCCACCAAGGAAAAGAGCCAGAGACCTTGTTGTGTAGGTGCTCATACGTGGTCCTTGCCTGGCAAGACAGAACGCTCAAGCAGAGCCCCACCTTCTCTTCCTTTGCAGCTACTTACTGCATTCTCAGGATGGAAGATGTATGAAGCAGGAGAATTGTCGACAATGATCACTTTGCTTAGCTCTCGACCAAGGCGACTCAGGTCCTTCACATAATTCCCACGATGGAAAACACATGATTCTCTGAAGAGCCGAGCCCGGAACACACCCCAGCGGTCTAGGAGGTCAGCCACAGGGTCTGCATACTGGAAAGGAGGTGTTGCAATGAAGGCTGGCTGCCTGAAACAGCCCAGAAACCCTGACCTACAGCAGCAAGATCCAGATTACTTTTTTTATAACTGGATAACCAGATATGTTTTAGGATCCTGGTTATTTTCTTCTCCCTGTATGTAAGACAGTACTCAATTCTTCCGTTTCTCTCATGCACAACCCATCAGACATTATCATCAGTTTCATCTCCAAAAATATCCTAGATCCACCTCTCAATTTGTTTTGCCATTTCCCTAGTCCAGCTCTCTAATCTCCGGCCTGGGATGGCTGTGTGAGCCTCCTGCAGAGGCTTCCCTTTCCTGTTGGGACTTCTATCCAGCCTTTTCACTTCAACGTTGTCAGAGTGGCAACTGGGAAACATACATCTGATCCCATGACTCCCCTGCTTAGAACTCTTCATTGTTAATGCACTGCACTTGAAGCATGGCCCACATTCTTCACTGTCGTGTCCTGCGTGACTGCAGCTGATCTCTGCCAACCTCTCAGCTCCATCTCAAACCACTTGAGCCACACTGGCTGTGAACACGGCCAGAACCGCGCAGTGTTTCCTCGCATGGAACATTCTCTCCCTAGCTTTTGCATGAACATCTATCTCCTCGTTTTTCAGGTCTTGGCTTCCTTTCCCACCTATCTAGAGTCTACCTCCATCTTCCTTTATAGATACTCTCTATTACCTCCCAGTAATTTCCTTCATTGAGCTTAGCACCATGTGAGATGCTTTATTTTCTCTTGTCAGGCCAAGGTCTTGCCTGTCGTGTTCAGCTCTATATCCCTAGCACCTCACAGAGTGCTGACCTCATAGCTGGGGCTCAGCAAATATTAGTTTCATCATTAAATGAATGAGCTGGCTTGATTTGTCTTGTGTGGCATGAGGCCACAGTGCCCCCTGGAGGTCCTCTGGGCAATCACAGCTCTGACCGCCTCAGGATGAGTGTCTAGCCATCCACTCCCACTGATTGGAGCCCAGGACCTTTAAGGAAGTTTGAGCCCTGCTCACAGTTGGGGTTTATCGTGCTTGGCCCTCTCTCATGGCCAGGGGAATTTCCCCCAAAGCAGGTTGAACTGGATAAGGAAACAAAGGGGTTCCTGAGAGAAAATCCTCATACATGAAGCTAAATGAGTGGGTCACACAGACTGGCTGGGCCTGGAGGCAAAAGAGCAGTTTCATGCTTGACGCAAGGCTAGCCCTCAGCACCAACACCAAAGTGAGGGGCACAGCAGATATCACTGGGGGACCTGTGCCTCTGCCAGGGAGGTGGGAACACAGGCTGGTGTGTAGGGAAGGCCAGCAGTGGAATGCGCAGCAGATGGAAATGCAGAGCAAATGCCAGCACAGCTGCAGGACGCAGGGCTGCAGGGCTAAAAGCTGCAGCTCTGATCCATGGGAACATCCTCCCATGGACATCTTAAGGGAGGCAGAGTCCAGGAGCAGCTGTATTTCCTACTGCCTGAGTAGGGTGAGAGCTTGGGGTACTGCAGTTTTCCAATGGTGAGGCTAGCCAAGGGCCATGTGGGTGGGTTACAGGGGGCTGACTCTAGGGGGAAAAAAATTGTTAATTTCCTCATAAACATTAACACTGGTGGTGGCACCATGTTTCAAGGAAGTGTCTGAGTCTAGGCCCTCCAGGCCTTAGAAAATGTGAAGGATGTAAGCTTCATGAGGGCAGGGACCTTGTCTCTTTTGTTCTCTAATGTAGCCTCAGTACTTGGAATTGGTCTGATATATGGTAGGTAATAAGTAAATATTTTCTGGGTGAACGAATGAATGAAGAAATGTATGGCAAGGAAACAGATACTGAAGGGCTCTGACAGTCAGCTTGGGGTTCCTGCCGGCCCTTGGGTGGTAGGCAAGAAGGTCCACTGTACCAGTGCTGCTGGTTGGGAGCTGAGCTCAGAGCCAAGAACGGGGGGAGTGACCACCCATCAGCAGAACTTGTACAGCAGAGAGGAAAGAGGCTGGAAGGCTGCTCTTAGGAGCTGATTAGGCTCAGCAGGCAGGAGTAGCAGTGAGAGAAGGGTTGGGGAGACAGATGGAGGGGCAGGTGGGAGCCTTCCAGGAAGAGAAACTGAACAAGGATATTTAAGCTCATGCTGGGGAAATGCCAAGGAAGAGTGTTTTCAGTTTTTTATTTTTTTTTATTTATTTTTATTTATTTATTTAAACTGAACAAGGATATTTAAGCTCATGCTGGGGAAATGCCAAGGAAGAGTGTTTTCAGTTTTGCCAAAGAAAAAAACAACTCTCAGTCCACTGCCATCGGTGCAATCTTCCTGTTTGTTATTTCTTTGGTTATTACTCCAGATTCCTCAGCATCCCAGAGCACTGTCAGAAGAGCCATGGAAGCTACAGATACAATCAGTCTTGGCAGCACTCATCTGAGAGACCACCCACTGGGAAGATCGCATTTTCCCTGAGATTGTGCTCTCTTTCTGGCATGCAAAAATAAGGCCTAGGTTTTGGATTCCCTCTCCACTAGTGCATGCTCTAAGGCCTGGTGATGAGTCTGACAGTATGCTGTGCAGGTGGGGCTCTCTCTCACCTCGGTCATCATGGAGAGATGGACCTAACCACAAATGCCCAGGCCAGCAAAGCAGCATGCCTGGGAGCCTGGAGTCTGAGTCACCAGAGTGTGGAGGAGGAGAGGGAGTGTGGGCACCAGGGTACCAGAGGGGGCCAGCCAGAAGCAGGAAACGGAGGAGGAAACTGCTTTGTATGTCACCAGAGCAGGTCTGGAGGCAGGCAGATGGTTAACCTGGGCCCTACAAAACTCATCTCTGGGGCTACTCAGGGTCCCTGAGGTATCCATGGGGACACTGGTGGTGCCACCAACAAATGGATGGTGTTGACCCCACTGGAGTCAGGGTTTGGGAGATGATCATGGCAAAGACCTCCTTGGAAGAGCAAGGGGCTTCCCTACCTGCCTGTACATAGCACAGGCACCTGTGAAGGGGGAGACTAGACCACACTAGGAGGCTGGGAACCCACCAGTTTCCTTAAACAGTGGGAAAGGATAAAGAAACCACTCTAAATGGTCAGAGCCAGCACAGATGCTGAGATTCATACCAAGCTACAAGACCAAAGCATGTCTGAACGATTTTATTACCACTAATAATTATGACATTAAATCATGAACATCAGGAGCACTTACCATGTGACGATGCCAGCACAGTATGTGGAACACAGCAAGTGCTTGATGAATTCTTGCCGGATGAGTCAGGTACTGTGCTAAGCCCTTTACATGAATGATTTCATTTGATCTACCCCACAGGTAGAAGAAATTATCCCCAATTCATAGAAAAAGAAACTGAGGCAAGAGAAGTGAAGTAACTTGCCTGAGATCACAGGGCTCAGTAGGGAAGAGTCAGAACTCTTAATCAGCTCCTGCATGTGGGTGAAGCTCTGACACTTATCTCTCACTTGTCTCTCCCCCAAACCTGTGTAAACTGGACCCAAGGACACAGGGGCCTCTAACATTTGGTTGTCAGTCAACCAAATGAGAGGTGCACCAATGTGCCTGTGGGGTGCAGCCATCCTCTCTTGGTTACACTGCACATGTTTGTGATTTCTGGGTCTGTGGACAACCAGCTGCAGGAGGCTGCAACCAGCATTTCATGGAGCATTTGTTCTGAGTGCTCCCTGTCACCATGGTAACCCAGAAGCCTTCCAGGCTGGCACTGTGCACATGGCCTGCATCCATCCCATCTGGGGTGGGAACCTGTCACCATAGAAATAGCTTCCCCCACCTTAACAAAGAGCTGCTTCACAGATTGGGGGTACAGTGGAAGGGCTGGGAGTTTGGGGCTGGCAGCAGGACTCACCTTGGCCAAGCTGGCAGTAAAGAGCACACATTCAAAGAGCTGCCCCATCTTCTGGAGGAACTCATCCACATGTGGCCGCTTCAGTACATACACCTGCAATGGCAGGATTCAGCAAGCTGGTCAGTCATGGCAATTGCTGGGGATGGCCTGGGGCCCAAATGCCCACTGTGGGAAGGATTGTTAAAGAGGTTCCTGCCTCCCACCCCCAGGTCCATGTGTGGCATGCAGAGGCCCAGACTCTTTGCATGGCTACACAGTCAGACGTGACACTCTTCAGATTGGGCTCCAGGTCTGAGTTCAGTGCAGATGCGCCTCCCCAGGGAGAAAGGGAAGCTGACCATGGTATAAAGGGTCTTTCTTAGGAATTTCCAGAAACAGTGAGTGGAAGGATCATGCTATGTTTGTGTGAAACGACTCATTAACTTCACATGTGTTTCTTGTCCCTGCTGTGGGTCAGGCCCTATTGGGACACAGGACGTTGTCTAAGTGTTGTCATTTTTGGAGGTCCAGTCCTGGCCTACTGCCTGGCAGGTCTGGGACTGATCTGGCTGCCACCTCCTACTCTAAAAGGAACACCTTCCTCACTAGGAAGTCCTGGGGTTGAAGTGCAGTCCCAGCAAAGCTGCAAGAAGGGCCATCCTTGTCAGCGTGGGATGCTGTCCATTTGATACCATAAGTTACTCTGTTTGCGCTTGGTACAGAAACAGACATTTCCGGGGATGTGAAACCAACCTACTCCTGGGTCTCAGAAACAAGACCTCAGGAGGGGCCTCCGAGCAGAGAGGGGCCATGAATAGCCTTTTCCAGAATACCTGGGCTCTCTGCACCCTTTTGGCCAGGTCAGGCCAGGGTGCAACTGTAGAGCAGCCAGGCTTCGGCCCACACGTGGGCTCCTGACTAGGGAGCCTGAACGAATCTGAGGAAACAAGAGAGATGGGAGAGAAGGCAAAGCTGGTGACAGAAGACAGAGGAAGTGAGAGGAGGGAGGAACTAATTAAAACATGAATAAATTCAATTTGAAATCAGCCACTCTACTAAAATAAATCAAGCTGTTTAAAATTCAATTCAACATGTATTACTGAGCCCCAGCTCTGTGCTCAGCCTGATGCAGTTATGAAGATGAATAAAACACAGGCCTTGCCCTTGAAGAGCTCACAGTCTATGGCAGACATAGGCAAAAACATAAAAACAAATGTGGCATAATGAAAGTTGTAGTTGAGGGATAACTTAAGGATAATTAACTCCCCTCTCAAGGGGAGGGAATCACAGAAGGTAACATTTGCTCTAGACACTGAAGGATGAATAGGAGTTCGCCAGGCAGATAAGGATGAGAAGAACTGAGCTTCTGTGAGTCTGAGACCTGGAGGCCTAGAAATACTTGAGGTGTTAGAGGATGGCCTGAGACTGTGTGCCCAGCCATGAGGGGCAGTGAGAGAAGGGGAAGTGGGGACGGGAGAGGAAGTGGCTAAATTGCAGTGTGACAGGCTGGTCATGGTGAGTACGCCTAGGGCCTTGAATGGCAGATGCAGGGGGTCAGATAAACTGTAGGAGTAGAGAGGGGACGCAGGGCTCTGCACCACCTGGAGGACATGCGGCTGGCAGAGGAATTCGACACAAAACTGAATAATTTTCAAGGTGCCAGAAGCAGGCACTCAGGAGGGCCAGGCCTTGGTAGGAAACTCATGGCTGACTGAAAGAGTCGGGCAGGCACAGGCCTGTAGTCAAGGGTGCAGTGAGGTGCCAGGGGAACAGCATGGCCTAGGGTTGGGGCTGAGGACAGGACCTGTGGCTGAAGCAGCTCCAGGACCCCACTTTGCCCATTAGTGCCAGCGAATGGTTACAGCCTGCAGTCCTCAGTCTCCCTGGGAATATTGCTTGGAAAACAACTTTGCTACATGCAAAGGACAGGACATTGATTTGGGAACTCTGGTGTTGGTGCCTCTGGCAGAGAGGAGGGTCCTGGGCCAGGATGCCGGCATCCAGGCTCGCGTCCCTGTGCAAGTAACCGAGAATAGGCCCATTGGGACCTGCACAGCCTATCCTGGATTACTTGAACGAGGCCACGGCCTTCGCCAGGGCCTTGGTCCTCCTGCTCTTGGCGCCCGTGGCTTCATTCCTTCAGGAGACAGTTTCTGACCCCAGCCCTGGGGCCCTGGGATATCTATCACCAAGTAAATCAGCACCGTAGGAGGAAGGCTGGGGGAGCAGGACTGGCTCCTGCAAGAATGGGCCAGTCATGCTCAGTCATGTGGTACGAAGGATTAATTTCATTCCTAATTCCTGCCATGCCACTGCAGCCTCTCCTTTGTCTCATCAGGAGCACTTTGTAACATAAGCCAAGAAAATAAATGAAGAAGCCTTAACTGCTTGTCAGATGCTGAGTTAATTCAGTTGACGCTTCTGCAAATGTTAAATGCCCAAGTGCCTGTCGTTTTGGCTCCGTGATGGCTTTTAAAAGCATAAAGTGTGGACATGCTAGGGATAAAGCCGCCTTTCCCAGGGGCTGCTTTCGGGCAGGACCTCCTGGAGAACAGCTGAGAAAAGCAAGGGCAGGGGAGGGGAGGGACTTAAGTGTCAGGAAAAGAGCCCTGGCCAGGAGGCAGGAGACTGGAATTCTCATTTCAGTTCTTCCCATTGTATGCCTCTGAACCAACCCTTTCCCTGGCTAAGCCTCAGTTTCCCCATCTGGACAATGAGGTTGGCTGGACCAGCTGAGTTCCAAAGCCTTGCCAGTTCCAACGCCCTACACTCGAGAGCCAAAGAGACTACTGACATCACTAAAGAAAGACATCTTGTTGTGGCTCAAGTTCCAAAAGAGATTTTCCTTCCTGGGACATCAAGCCAGATATTCTCTCTTTAAGACCTTGGAGTTGACAAGGAAGATGGTTAGATCATCCCTGCGGAAAACCTGACAAAAGCCCCCCTCTTCAATCTCCAAGACTAGTTTCCCTGCAATGTTTCCAGTATGTAAACAAATGAAGCTATTTCTGGAAGAATTTTATGCAGATAAAGAAAAAAAAAATGTCTGAAAGAACGAAGATGCATGCCAACTTAATACTATGGCATCTTTATTCATAGCAGCTAGCTGATCCCCAAACTCACACCCTCCCCCCTTTTTCTTTTGGGTTGGGCATTTGCTAAAGATTCACTGGAAAAAACAACATATGAGTGACAAGATCAGTCTGGAGCAGGTGACACTGGATATGGACACCTTTCCCCAAGAATCTACCCTTAGTGAGTGAGTTGTGGCATTTTTCTGTTGCCTGCCAGGAGAGTAGCCAAAAGCAATTACATAAGGAAGTTAATTAGACCATCAAGCTAGGCCTGTGGCAGATACAGAAACTTCTGAAAGTCTGCATCAAATCAAAGAACTGTTTGAACTTGTAACCACATCTAATATTTATGAGTAGATTATAGTTTTCCTTATAAACTCAGTATAAATTAAGTTCATCTGAGCAAAAAAAAAGAGCAGAAAACCATTGAATTTATTATACAAAATCTCCATCCTTTTGATTCAGCCACAAAATTATTACTGAAATGGGAATTTAGAAATAAAGTTCACAGGAAATATAACTCCTAAACATGCTAATGGAAAACTTAGATTTAGCTTTGATTTCTTACCTGATGTATAGTTCCATCGATTTCAACAGGAACAATAAAATCAGCATTACTAATAGGCTAGAGAGAAAAGAAACTGTAATTAATATGTCTGAAAGAACAAAATAAAATTGGAAATTTTAGCAAGAAAAAAGCTTGCCTGGACCAATGTTTTGATTATTGGAAAAAACAGTTCAGGAGAAGGATGTTGAAGTATGCCTTGGTTCCTTAAAATAAGCACAAGCAGGAAAGCACATTATTTTCTGTTTTGAATGTCATTACATTTTCAGCATTTTGATCCAACTCCTTTATCACCTGCCTAGCCTTAACCACAAAGTGTGGTAGAGCCTGGCTAGAGATTGAGGCTCCTCAGAAATGCCAGCTCTTGCCCGCAGCCCTGCCAAAATGACAAGGAACCATTCTGGCCACCAGGGGGCGGAGGTGAGAGCCTTACAGGCCCAGAGGGCAGTGCTGCTGGTGGGAAAACAATCTGCACCTGGACCCACAAGTGCGGTCTACTCCACCAAGGGCTGCTCTGCTGGAGATGCTCAGCACAGGGACCTAAGCAGGGCCCAGGCCACTTTGGAAAAGCTATAGCAATGGGTCTCATGAGTGCCTCGTGCTCCAAACAGTCCTGGGAATCAGTGATTTCAGGCCCTGCTTGGTGGCCTGGCACTGTCTCCTGCCCTCGAGTAGAGGAGAGACAGCCCACCCTACACTCCTCTCCTCTAACCAACATAATACCCAGCACACCCAAAACTTCTGGATACTTAAAATAACTCTCTAACAATATAAAGACATTTAAAATTCAAATATGATTCTTCAGTAGTCACTATGTTCTCAATAACGAACATATACAAAATCCTAAGTTGAATTCCACAAATTAGGTAGAAAACTCTTTGAATGAATAGGCCCAACAGAATCATCAGTCAGCAAACCTCTGGGACAAGAGGAGACAGAGGGAAGGAGAACATATGTGGTGGGCACTGGGTGGAGGTGTGGGGTAGAGAGTCTCTGGTCAGACTCTGCCTGGGGTCTGCCTTTAAGCCCATAACTGTACACACAAACATTCTTCTTCGATATATAAACTGAAAAAATGTGGAAAATACTAGGTCATAGCACCTAAACACTTAGGAAAGCATCTGAGGCTTAAGATCACATTTTATTTACTCCCAGGGTTGGAAAGCCAAGGATGAGTTCAATATTTAATCATTTCACAACTAAAATACAGAATCATGCTACAAAAACAAAAGACTGAAGAAGCTCTCACAAAGCATTAGATTGCAAAATCATATTCTATAGAGTATATGAGAAGAGAAAAACCATTTTCCAGCTTATAGCAAGGATCTATCCTTAATCTCGTCTCATATGCTGGTGTAAAGGAGGCTCTACTAAAGCCAGAGCTCTTAACCTGAATCCATGAACCTGTGTATTGTACAGCTGTACATTTCCAAGGGGAGAGGGTTCACAACTTTTAGATTCTCAAAGGGCTTTGAAATAAATGCCCAGAACACTAAAAACTATAAAATAAGGAATATTCTGCTTGCAAATACAGTCTGGCTAGGCGTGGGAAGAGCTGAGGAAATGCTGTTCACATCAGTTTGTGGCATCGATGCCCTCTAAGCAGGCCCTGGAGACACTAGGAGCTGCCAATCCTCTGCCTTTGGAGCCAGGAACCCTCAGTAACCTTGGGCAGTCTGGCCAGTGTTGCCCACACTCCCAAAGCTGCTTGGCAGGAAGCTCTTTATGCTGCAATGGCAACTGACCCCTGCACTGAAGGGCTTTCCTCCAGAGGGACTTGAAAAAGTCCTGAGAAATTTGCCCATAGAAGAGAAAAGGCTTCCAATGCTGTCCAGAGCTGAGCTGGGACACAAGGCCACTGTAGCCCCAGGACCAACCCTGGAAGGGCCCAGCCCTCAAGTGCAGGGGAATAGGTGGTCCCTGTTTGCCCCAGTGGCCAGAACAAGGCCATTTCTCACTGCTCTGCAGCAGTGAGAGTCCCTCCTCCACTCTTCAAAGGACTCAAAGACAAACTCCTGGCCTTGTCCTATCAAAGAAGGTCTCTGTTCAGTGAGAAGTAGGTACAAGAAAGGATGTCTCTGATAGAAAGGTGTTCGGGCAAATCGGGTGGCTCTTCTGCTTCCCAGACAAGCTTCAAGGAATGACTATGGTTCATGTGAGACACATACCCCATCATGGATGGTGCCTCTCATGTCCCTCAGTGCAGGAGAGTCCAAGGCTGGAGGTAAAAAGAGGAGTGTAGTATAACCAGCCAGCAACAGCACAGCAGGTCCACTGGCAGAAAGAACCCAAGGAAAACCGGGCCAGGACTCTACACATCTGCGGCCTCTCCTCAACACACCAATGCCTTTTCCCAACTTTTTTTTTAAAATCATTTCCCTCTTTTAAACAATTTATTCCATTAAAAAATGGTTATTAAACTCATTTTTTAATAGTGTAGCCACAGGTGTTCCCTCTGGTAATTTGTCATTTTTGCTGTTTTTCTGGAGGGGATTTGGAGAGTGGGGAAGATGACAGGAAGGAAGACTGATGCTCACTCTGACATCAGTGCAGCCCTGCACCCTTCATGAGGAAAGTCATGAAGGAGGGTCCTCATTCAGCTGTGAAGCTTACAAAACCTCAGCAATCTCTTCTCATGAAAACGGTCAAAATAAATAGTTGAATCTGTTCAGATGTTGTTAACTTTAGAAGTCATCTTCAGAACGGGACATCTTTCAAAAATTGATCTGGGAAAATTTCCAGGAAAGCAGCTCGCTGGACAGCTTCCAACAGCTCCTCCCTTTCCCCTCCCAATAAAACACACAGCACTCTGGTTACCTTGACAAACAAACATTTGTAGTGTCCTGGGGCACTGGTGCACTGATTGCTTTGTGCCACTTGAAAGTATTTCTGCAAGGGTTAGAGTATTGGAAAACTCAAACTTCATAAGCAAGAATAATAAATAAGAATATTGGCAGCCTTGCATTTTCTTTTCCAAACTAATTATGTCAATATTCAACTACTTTGGGTACTATTTACCTGGGCTAATAAGCAGCTGTTGGGATTTCTTCATGAAGAATGAAATTATATGCTGACAACCACAAACTTTCATCCTTTTTATTTTTCTTTTCTAATACAATTGTGATCAATTCAAAAAGATCACTGATTTTTACATTGATTTACCTTAAATGAACTGTGCACCAATGTTTCATCTAAATCAATGACCACACACTTCTTTCCATAATCAAGCACCGTCACCTCTGGAAGGAGGTATTTAGCTGGTGGCTAAAGGGGGGAAAAATCAATATTATTATCTTTTTGTAAAAGACAAATAAATTCCCTTATTATTGTATTATACAATGCTAATGAGGGTATAAATGAAAGCAAACATTTAAATACTTGGTCAAGTACATCATGGAATTTTATTAAGAACAACAAGAAAAAGTAGTTTGCAACTCAAGTTTTACCAAACAAATTCCTTGCCATTACCAAAATGACTACTATGAAGGCCTAGGCTTTGGAACCAGACAAACCTGAGTATGAATATCAGCTCTGTAACTTTCCTGGCTGTAAGCTGGGATATTAATACCTACCATGGAAGGTTGTTGTTATCAGTTATAATGATAATAAAACACCCAGAATTTTTCCTGACACTATATATATGGTGGCTATTGCTATCATTAAAACAGATTACACAAGGATGAGTGTTTACTTATAATAACTACTCTAATTATGCAGATCTATTTCCTGGGGTCATATCTTACCTGAAATTCACTGTGGCAAGTGAGTACATTTTTAGAACTATGTTGGAACCACAGTATTTTTTTTTTTTAAGTGACTGACTTTCAAAAACTTGAAGTGAAACTATAGACCTACTGGCAAAATGCAAGCCAAAGTTACCCCCAATACTAGGAAAAAGAAATAAAACAGGTCCAGATACAGTGCCTGCCCCACTGTGGTATAATATTGAGCAAAGGTGGCATTTTTACCCCTTGGATTCTCTGTCTCTGAAGGTTATGCTTTAATCCACATGCTGTGTGTTAATGAGAATATTTATAGGTCTTTGTAATAGTTGACTCTAATCTTGTGATAAAGATGTCATAAAGAGTTAATGAAATGCTAGGTGTCTTCAGCCAACCTCGCTCAATTGAGAATATTTATTTCTTTGGGCTTTGCCTCATTCCAGAAATAATTAACTAAAAAGTTTACTTCATGGCATATTCAGTGTCCAATATTTACTAGTTAATTTTCGGTCTTTCAAGAAGGTCAAATTCTTTTTAATATTTAATGCAAAACAAAACAAAACAGGGCCAGCCCAGTGGTGCACTGGAGAGTGCGCCGCTTGGGAGCGCGGCGGCGCTCCCGCCGAGAGTTCGGATCCCACGTGGAGACCGGTTCCCGCTCACTGGCTGAGCGCGGTGCGGGTGCGACACTGAGGGTTGCGATCCCGTTACCGGTCAGTAAAAAAAGACAAAAAAAAAAAAAAAAAAAAATCTATCCCTAGCCACTGAAAGACAATTTAACTTATCAAATAAAACAAGAAAATAATAAAATAAAATGGCATCCCCTTTTAAGTAGCTATTTCCTTTCTTTTTTTGGTTTACGTTGAATGTTAGTCAATGATCAAAAGTTAATTTGGGACTTTGGCTGGCTCAATAGTAAATGTAACACAGGCAGTCAATAGGTTAGGTAAATTTGTGAGTACAACAATCACCTTGGTAGAGAGGGACTGCCCAGGGCTGCCCAGGAAGAGGCTATGTGTGGGGACACGAGCATTTCTAACTCTAGACGGGCTCTCTCTAGTGCGCATGGGTGTTTCATCCTTTTCCAACATCATCTAGAAGAAAAAGCCTTTAAGGCCTCCCAACTCCTTTAGCTCTAACTAAAGCTTGTCGAGCTATCCTCCCTAATCCCAAGCCGTCCTCCCTAATCCCGTGGCACTGGGAAGGGATATGGAATGTGCCTTAGAGGCAGGCAAGGAATTCAGGGACCTAGAAAGTACTCTATCCTTCACTATAAATCAGTGAGTCAGCAAGTTATTTTAAAAAAAATTAAAATAAACTTGCAAAAAGTTCAGTATCAAAAAGTGTTTTAAAAACACAGGATTTGATGAGCTCTGTAAGTGAGTATAATAGAGAAAATTTGGGTTATTTCTGTCATTTGGGCCACAGCAGAAAGCATGCTTGTGACCAGAATAAAAGTTGTTTTAATTTAATTTTTATTACTCAATTATGTGTAATTCTTTACATTCTCATTGTAAAGAATATAAACATGTGAGAGTAAAACACAACTATCCCCGTTTCTATGTCCTTTTTTAGTTTAGTGTATATCTATCCAGTCCTTCCCTATGTGTCTATATAGTACTAAAACAACATTTGAATTTATTCATTTAATTGCTAGACTGAAAAATAAGGATCTAGAAATTCTATCCCCAGTATATCTGAAAACATCAAAGATCTGTCAAAAGTGACTCAGTTATTTTCCAAACCTGAGGATAAAAATTAGTTTCTTAGCATATTTAACCCACACTTTATAAGCATTCTCTGAGTTAACAGTAAGTAAAAACCTTCACTGTACTATCTAAGGGAGAAAACACTGAGAAGGGTGAGACTCATATTGATTTTGCATTTGTGCTGCAGAGAACAAGGCCAAACTGGGGGGCAACAGGCTACGCAGGGTTCCATTAATCCTCAACCAGTTTCCTAAATGCATTCAGCCTCTCTGAGAACTTGTCTTTAAATTAATGCAAATTCTTCAGTCCACTGGTAGGAATTCTTCTGGAAAGCTGTGTCCTTGGAAATGCAAGGACACTATACAATTGCAATAGATGCCTGAATCATTAACTAAAAAAATGCCCTGAACTAAACTTTCTGAGGCCATGATAAAACTGAAGAACAAGAAAAACACCAGTTATATGAAGAAAGACCTTTTCTATATAAAATCACTCGCTCAGATGCACACAGAGAGCATTGCTAGTGGGTGGAGGGCGGAGGAAGGGACCAGGGTTTGCCATCCAAGGTTTGGGAAGGGTGTTCATTCTAGTTCTCCTCCTGGGAGTAAATCTTAAACTTCTTGTCCCTTGCAGTGAACTGGTAGCCACAAATAGTTAAAACTAAGGTTTTATCCTCTGGAGTACCCACCCCTCGAGCCCTCATAAATCTCATAAATTTAGTACCTCTTCTTGGTACATAGATTATTGTTTTCTTAAGATTTCTCGGGCTCAAGGTCTACACGCTATACTCCCCAAGCCTCAGAGTTCAGGGTGGGGATCTTAGGGCCTAATGCTGGAGGGCAGGAAGGGAAACCCTAGGCTGGTTTTAACTAGAACAGTTATTCTGCTTATATGTTCTTCATAATGTTTTAGTGGAAAAAAGTGTACTACTGATTTATGAGAAGCCTTAGGCAAAGAGCATAGAAACATTACTGTTAAAAAACAAATTCTCTCTCCTTTCAACATTTTTATGGCTCAGCTATACTGTCAACCTCGTTTTGTAAGCATCAGTGTGGCGTGTGATTTAAGCAAGAGCGTGGGAATAGTAGGACTTGGGTCACAGCCCCAGTGGCATTCCTAACTGGGGCCAAGGCATTCAAGTGCTATCCTCCAGCTATGACTAACCAAACTTCAGTGGTTCCTAAACTTTCTGTCCCTCTGCGTCTTTTTCTTACTCTTTAATACCTGACTTTTACCAATAGCCCATGAAGCTTCCCCATAAGGAAAGCCCTAAATCCCAGCCCCATAGTTGGGAGACATGTTACTAAGTGGAACTTTTAACGGTCCAGATGAAGATGTTGTTTCCAACAGGCGTGCAAAAGATGACTACTCAATAAACGGTTCTGGGACAACCACTTGGAAAAAGAAATAAAGCTGGGTTACTGCTTCATGCCTTACATAACATAAACTCCAAACGGATCAAAGATTGGAGTATAATGACGAAACTATTAAAAGAAGAAAATATAAAATCCAGGAGTCATAAAGGATAAGATTAACACATTGCCCTATATAAAATTAAAACTTCTTTGTGGCCAAAGTGATTATAAAAAAGGCCAAAGTATATAAATATGGAGGAAAGTACTAATTTCCTTCAAATTTAAAAAGATACACAATGCAGTATAAGACTAGAGAAAATGAACAGGGAAGAAGAAAGACATATGGCCAATGAACTTGTGAAAAGCTGTTCATACCAGTCATAAAGAATGCAAATTAAAGCAATAAACTGATATAATTCTTTACTTTCAGAATAGCAAAGGTTAAAACATTTGATAACCATTTTCAGTAAGGGATTGGGCAATCTCATAGACTCTTCATGCGAATGTATAAATTAGCATAGGCTTTCGGAGGACAACTTGGCTTTAATGTGCCAACAGTGTAAAATATATCCTTTGACCTAGCATTTCCACAATTAGGAA